TAGATTGGTTAACTTCGCCAATCCTTGAAATTTAATTGGACTGATTTCTTGTGTTGCCCCCGCTTTAGACGACCCCCCAAAACCCTTTTCTCAATTTTAATATTTAAAATCTCTCGATAAGTCGGTTCTCTCGACAAGTCGCATGACCGACTTATCGAGTTTGCCTATGTATTTTATTTACAGTACAAAGTGTATAATTTTTCGTATAAATTTATCTTATCCCCTAAGTAATTTCTTTATTAGGAAACGTATATTTTTTGCCGAATAAGTGAACTGCGCGATGCACGCGCTCTGGGTAGTTAAACCCTTCAATGAAAAAAATCGTATCAAACTACCCCAGGAAGCAACGAAACAGTTAGATAAAACTTTTGTTATGGAACGCGAACCACGCCTTTCTTCGACAAGATATTTTGAGTATCTTTGTACTCCAGATATGAAATATGTCCATGACTACTTCAAGAATCGGAAAGCATCTGCCTGGTGTATTCAGAGTTATATCGAGTATATATCTGAAACCGGGATGGAGCTTGACTTCGTTCAATGTTGCAATCTTTTCACTGATAGCTTGACTCAAATAAATAAACTTGTGGCTACGCCTAGTCCAATTAGAGCTTTCTGTAACAATTACCTTGCGTGGCTGAAGGTGCAGTATTATTGCAATTTTCGATTAATACGAAAAATCCAAAACTCATACAAAAACGCGAATAACTGTAGTCTAATGCGGGAGTAGCAATAACAAGAACGTGTGCCGAATTCTTCGAAACGAACAAAGCGCATAAGCGATTGGTTAGCATTCATGGCACTACTGAGGTGGGTTAGTATGCATGTATGCACACTTGTTTCGAACGGAATACTCACATATTATCGCCTGCAGGATGTGATATGCCTTAACGCAAAAACCGATATCCTCCAAGCCCATTTGCAATCAGAGTCTATTCCGCCTATTCTTCCGTCTGCACCCAAAACTCCACCTCAAACTTGCATGGATTTATCACCGTTGAAGTCAACTCCCAATAAGCGATCATATGAGAAGGAAGAACTTCAGCTGTAAGTCCCGTTTTTCTACCTGCTATGTATCACTTTACAATAAGAGAAGAGAGATTCTTAACTTTGCCCTCTTTATGTGGTAGATTTATCCAAGACGTCTCTATAGTATGTGCATCCGGGCAGACATTTGAGGAGTTGTCATCAAAAATTGAAGAGGAACTTGCTGTGGAAGTGTCCTCTATGCGTGATACTAATCCTGCTGTATGGACACCTGCCTTGGAGAAGTATCTTGATGCTATCTTTGAAGAAACGATGGATAATTTCCAAACTAAGGTCCAGACTAAATTGTCAGGGGATGGAGATGAGCGTTTTAGACTTTATTGTGAAAAAGTTCTCATTGACTTGTATGTACACATTAATGTTAAATAATATCTATTTGTGTATTAATATCAAAGAAGATACCAATAATTGCTTTCATTTAGTTACTACCTTGTAGATGTCGATCCTAAAATGAGCAGAAAAATAGGAGAACAAAAACACATAGTATATCAGGTATCCTCTTTATTCAAATATTATGAAAGAACTTTTCTTAACCTTGAATTTGATTGGATTGAATTGCAAGTTCGTGCTGCAAAAGTAATGAAGTCATCAACCAATTCTGGGATTGTGTGAGTGGATATCAAGGCAACAAGATCCTATGATGGGTTAGATATTTGGCACATGGAAGTTGCAGGCTCTCCTTATAATGCAAGTGAGAAGCATACTTTGGATGACTCAAAGAAAACACTCCAAACTGATATTCTGAATTTAATTGCAATATTACGAGACCATCTTGATTGTGAAGTGAAACTTGCAGCAAAGATTAGGGTGTTTAGCACCCAGTCAATAAGTAAGTGTATGGTATATGGTTTATGTTAAGAGGTTGGATTTTCTAATATTCTATTCCCATCCCTTCAGACAATCGACTTACTCTTTATGCTCTCAGTATGCTTCCTGATGGACGTTTTCTTGTAACAGAGCTTGCTACAGCCACAATACCTTTCAGTTTTAATGCCCGGAGCCAATATAAAGCTGTCCTCAGGATGATGGCTATCTTCCATGTATGTGTTTATATTTAGATTAGGTACCTGACAATATTTTTATTTCTTGTGATTTATATGGTATTTTTTTGTAGGACGAAGTGATAAAGCAAGAGGCATTGATGGAAAAAATTAACCGGTCTGTACTTAGAACTAAAGAAACAAAGGTCCGCGATGTGTTAAGGATACCTGAGTTAGAATAAATGTCAATTTTTTACCAGCCAGTTTCTCACTAAGTAATAATCAATTTATTTTATAATATTGTCATTAATTGTTCTTCTAACTCTTTTCTCTTATTTTCTATTCATGAATGTTGTTTATTATTATCTAATATTTTTGAGTATTGGGTTTCTATTCCTGCTATAGCTATTCATTTTTTTTTCTTTTCAATAAGTCACATTGATGATTAGAAAATGTTTAGCCTGTTATTTTTTTTTTCTTTTATTTTTTTACCCATGTTGTTCATGCAGTCATCAGACGGTGGATAATGCTGGAAGTGTGAAGAAGAGATGTCATGTGGTCATCAGACAGTGACCTCTTCAACACAATCCTGCTCACTGGTTTAACCCTCAGGTGATTAGTAGGCAGAAGTGCAAGTAAAAAGACCTCACTTAACCCTCAGGTGGTGAACTTTCTATTTGTAAAGGTAAGCCACCAAGTTTGTGTGGTCATCAGACAGCAGACTGGTGGAGACTGATAATAGTTGATATTAGTATTATCTGGTCCAACTATTTATTATTATACCCACATTGTTCATGCGGTCATCAGACGGTGGATAATGCTGGAAGTGTGAAGAAGAGATGTCATGTGGTCATCAGACAGTGATCTCTTCAACACAATCCTGCTCACTGGTTTAACCCTCAGGTGATCAGTAGGCAGAAGTGCAAGTAGAAAGACCTCACTTAACCCTCAGGTGGTGAACTTTCTATTTGTAAAGGTAAGCCACCAAGTTTGTGTGGTCATCAGACAGCAGACTGGTGGAGACTGGTAATAGTTGGTATTAGTATTATCTGGTCCAACTAAATCTAGATTTGATTTCTTTAATTTGTATTTTTTTGCAATGTATTACTTACTACTTATTAATATTAAGCTTAACACCATACTCTCAAGATTCAAACCAAAGGAAGCCAAAACTTAGAGTGTTACTACTACTACTGTTGTGGTCTTTTTCAGGTAGGACTGTTCTCATTAATATTAATATTAAATGGAAATTGAATAATGGACCAGGCCAAAATGAATATTAATGCTGGCTCTATGTTTATGTTAAAAAACTTGTAATTTGTAATAGGTTACAGGTCTAGAATGAATGTTTTGCATGTTCCAATAAAGCCTCTGTTACTGTCACTGATATATCATTTTGCTTCATCCACATTACTTCATATTCAACCATGTTCTCAGTTTCATTGGTAGATTTAATCTCAACTAATACTAACTCCATCATACTCATTATCACTGCATCAATGTTCTTTTTAATCTCTTCCTTATTCCTGGAAATATCTCAAACATATTGTTATATGGTGAATTATTAAATAGTAATAGTATGATTATTAAGAATATTGTTCATCAGATGATCACTGTTGAGTCAAAAGTCATGGGAGAGTGGGTGATGATTAATATTAACAGGATTTAGCTACTTGTTAACAGTGCCTCTTGGTAGCTGCTTGTATCATAACATATTAGTATTGTGTGCCATGATTATGATACCTGTTGGGATAACATTCTAAGACACAATGAAACTTGGCATTTAACAGAATTATGAACACTCAGGATGTCTCAGAAAAGTGCCCACATTTCAACTGTATAATTATAATTGGCTTTCCAGTGTAACAGACAGATACAGCAAAAAGTGTGACCTTTACTTGGTTGGGAAATTGTTTGATGAATTTATGCCTGAGCTTTCAACTGCAGGTAGAAGAATCAAAGGACGTTTAAAAAATCAGAAATTCCTAAATTGTGAAAGATGAGTGGTTTAAAACAGAAGTGTGCACACAATAGTAGTAAATATCATAATGCTGAAGACTGGTCAGAATAAAGTTTCACAGAATTATTGAATTTATTACAAGCAATTGATTCTCGACTTATTGTCGACACTATTTACGAAGCATAAACTTAGTAGGAGATAGAATCGTGGATCAGTCAAGAGAAATGATCTTATAATTTACATAAACTGAGCAACCCATAAAATATATAGAATGAAGTATACTGCCAATACTATCCGTAAACGATGGCAAAGTTATAAAATACATATATAGGATTACCCGTATATGGAAAATTATAATTATAACGGTTCAACTGAATATGACAAAGCCATACGTTGCTTGGAATTAGGTTGCAATTGTGGTTGTTCAAGAAAATTTTCGAGAGAAAAGTTTACTGAATTACGTGAGGCGTTTCAAGCTCTCTCTAGATCCGAGCAAGACATATTTTTAATGGCTCAACTAAAAGCAATGAATGGTGGCCAGCCGACGTCTTAAAAAGAAAACGCGTACTAATAAGCGAACGTTTTATTATTGAGATGGCAATACGCCCAAACCAAGGAATATGTGCGGAACTGCGCAATTGTCAGCATGGACGAAATTGTTGTCGGAACTAATTTGGGGGTAAACGACGACTTGTCTTTCTGTATAGGACGCCGCTTTGTATAACCAACGCCAGTTGTGACTGCGTAATGCATGCCTGTATTCGACCGTAAGTATGCGTAATTTGTGTTAATAGAGCCAGGTTCGCAGCTACAGTATAATCGGCAATACAAGATAATCATACTATATACAGCTAACGTCGGTTCAGTCCTACCATTCTATCGAAGAAGAGATGGAATATTATTGGTCAAAATAAAAAATGCTGAGATGTTGAAACACTTTCAACGTTTAACGATCATAACAAACATTGGAAATAAGGACACAGGCTAAACCACTTTACTCACGATCAAATGGACTTTATGTTAGTTAATTTATATCCAAAAATGGGAATACAACTCAGGTTTCTCTAGTTGGATAGAACAGCGTGTGCAGTATTACTTAATTTATGACCGATCTGGAGAGGTTTACTTATTGGCTAAACTGACTTTAATAATAGCAGCATTAACCTTATTTTTGAATTTCACCGGATCATTCATCGAGTGAGCAAGTTCTCGAAGATCATCCGTATCCAAAAGATTGATGGTGACTTTACTAGCCTGCGCACTCTTTAGACCAAGGTTCTGTAATGCAAACGCAGAACAATCAACTTATTCGTCGAATAATAACATCTCTTTAAAAATCAAGTACTTTTTCGCATCCTATATTATCTTACCTTAACTTTCGGGAACAGCTTATCACCTAATTTCTGTTTCTGTTCTACAACTGGCTTTTGTTCCAACATCCTCAAGAATTGTTCGGTTTCCTCGTACAGAGGGTCATTTGGGTTATAATGATTCTCCGTCATCTTCGGAGGAGTCACCAGAGGTTGGACACTAGTAGGCTCGGGTGATTTAACCGGGGGTGTAGTATTTGGTGTAATATCTCTGGGCGTGAATTGTGGAGGGGGAACGGAAATAGATGGAACCACATCGTCGTCATGTGTAAACTCCAAGGCTGCAATTGCTTCTAAAATCTTCTTATCCAAATATTCCGCGTTGAAATAGCACAGAGAACGTTCTTTTTTGGGCAAGCTCATAATTAATTCAAGAATTTCTTCAGTGTGGCGCTTATTGAATTTCACAATAGCACGGAGGAATTTCTCTCGCTCAGGTAACATCGTTTGGGTAAGAGAGGTAGTATTGAGAGTTGTTGAGCGAGGAGCAGTGTACGAATTTGCGCTTTCATCCAGGTTACGGCGAGACTTGTCTTTATGAAGTAGTTGACGTGCTTCGGTGATCTAATAGTGTACAGTTCGTCAGGTATACGTGTAAGGTACAAGTGTTACTACAGGCAAATACATACTAGAATAGAATATTTGCTATGTTTTGTGCTCATGTGTATATGGTTTGAAGTGCTAGTTTATGTATATTTACCTTATGTTGCAGCGCGTGTGGATCCTTGAGCAAGTGTAAGACTTCTGGTAATTTATTGGCCAGTAAAAGCTCAATAATTGGATTGACTTCATCCTGGGGCACGCTTGGAATATTTCTAAATCTCTTTTGCAATTCAGACATCAACACTTCTCTTCTTGCCTTAGGCGCCAAGCCAGCCAACGATTCTTGATCATAATCATTGAAAGCGTTCGCCGGATAAATATCAGAATTCCTCCTTGATGGCGTGCGAGATTCGGTGGGCGATGTTTGTCCGTTATTCGAAGTAGCAGCCGATTTTGTCTCTCGCAGTTTTTTTGGCTCATGAAGTCTGACAACAATTTGCTTGGAACCCAGAGATTTGTTGTTCATCGCCGTCTTCGCACGATCGGCCTCCTCTGGATTAGTATAACTCACAAAACCGAAGCCTTTTGAGTTGCCAGTTTCTTGGTCACGCATCACACGAGCACTAATGATGCGACCGAATTTACGAAAATGGTTAAAGAGATCACTACTTGAGATATTTGCATCAAGATTTTTAATGAAAAGATTGCAAGGGTCAACAAGTGGACCTTCTGGACCGGGTGATTGCGGTTGATGGGCGATATTGTTTTGATAAGTATTGGAAAGTACCGCCTGTTGCAAAATTCGTTGAGTTGGGACCAATATTACTTAAACATTTGCACGTATGAGTGACTTACATTAGAACGATTATTGTTACTACTGTTATCGTTCCCATTGCCATTGTCATTGTTGTTATTGTTATTGTTGTTGTTGTTATTGGTAGTGTTGTAATTGGGATTATTGGTATGGTTGAAAGAGTTTGAGCGTGAGTTGGGCAGATTCAGGCGGGGATTAGCTGAAACTGTACTGTAATAAGAAAGACGATTACAATGAGCATGAATCCGATCAGCAACGAGAGTTAGGTATTTTAACTTACATAGACTTTCCGTGAATCTCTAAAGAATTCTGTAGTAAATCGATAAATTAGTGACCGTAGACTAGTGACAGGAATAGCGATCTATCCAAAGAAAGTGAATTACCGTGGGTTTGAGTGCCTCTTGTACAGATACGTCTTTGAAGAATTGGATGAGACCTTGGCCTCTGGGGTTACCAGCCTTATCATAGTAAAGTTTACATGAATATAAAGGACCGAAGCACCTGAATGTTTGATACAATGCATTCAAGTCTGTGGTGCGAGGAAATTTAACGTGTAAACTTGGTGCAGCAGGTTGAAGATCTTGTCCACCGCTATTAGGATCTTTAATATGAAGCTTGAGGTGGCTCTTATATGCTTCAAGGGAAGCATTATTGTAGAAGGCAAATGCCTTTTCAGCTAATGTCGTTTCGCGCAAGGTATGAACGAAGGAAATAAGTACAAGACGATAAGCCAGCAGAAATAAGACGAGCATTTGATTAAATACCATCGCCTACACTTGAGAAATGGACGACCCCACTAGCAGGCCCCATGGTTCCGCTAGCAATAACCTGGACACTGTTTTAGGTGAATGAAAACGCATCGTCTTAGTCTCGAATAAGCACAAGTAATAATATCGTTATTTCTACTTGACGTTGCATATATTTTGGCACGGGCAAAATTTTTTTAACACTTATTATATGCAAACTATAATTGATTGCGAATAAAATTAGATTTTCCAAGTCTCTTGATAGTTTGAACCCAACATACCTAGTAGGGTTGACTCCCTTAAGAATATCCATAACTTCAGATTCGGTCATACTATATGGTACCTTGCTTATATGGAGGACTGGCTCGTCTATAAGGACGTCATTAAGCATGTCGTCGTCGTTAGTAGGCATATTGGTACTTGTAGGCATATTGTTAGTTGTGGGCATAATTGGTTAAAGCTCTCCTGAAATTTCAAAGATATCGCTTTTGGTTATTCACAGGTTTTTATATCCTTTGGTTTCGATTGTTCCACCGGGAATTTCTTGTCTTATCGCCGGTTGCATACGAATGTGAAGTTATAGGCTTGGGGGATAGAATCTGTCACAATAAGCAAGATCTGTGTGAAATCGAGTTACCCGCATCTATTGTCGGTTTTGACAATTGGTGGACGTCACCTAACATTAAAAGTTTGCATGTTGTATCAATACACAAACAATTAAGTCGGATGGGTTACGGAACTCTTGACTCGGTCCTTTCTTTTGAAAGGTCTAATGTTCCACCAAGTGGAAGTTTAATTCTCATAACCGACACTCTCTCCTCAGAGGGAAACTTTCTTATTCATCATTTCATTGCAAATCATTTAAAGGAAAATCGACATGTAGTGCTTGTTGGGTTCAACCAAACGCTGAGTCATTATCAGGCTATCGGGAAGAAGTTGGTTGGTTTGCTTGCAACTGTTATCTTGACCCAGTTTTTTGCAGAGATGGTCACTAGATGTGTCATCTGATTGTTATTTAGGGTATTGATCTCTCTCAGGAGAAATCGAAAAGTCTATTTTCGTTTATTGATGGGTTGACGTCTTTCTACTGCTCAAATGACACAAGCCAATCTACAGCGGACACAGATGCAAGTTCTATTTCACAATCGTCATCACCAATCGAAGACAATTTGAGAAAGTTCTATGTGATGGTAAAGGAAGTCGTGGCTGAGCATCCTGTTGGATCTGCTGTGTCATTGGTGATCGATGATCTGTCTACGTTGCTGTTTGCGGGAATACAGGTTGAGGCAGTATTGAGATTTGTGAAGAACTGTCGGTTATTAATCGAGAAGGTTTGCATATTAACTTAGTAATCAGATGCTTTTATGCAATTTATTCTCTAATTACCACGACTGATCTTTCATTAGAATGGTGGCAGCCTGACCCTTCTTGTACATGGGGATGATATATTGATGCATGATATTAATTATGAATTATTTGTAAAGTCATTAATGTACCAGTCCGAATATATCCTATCAACTAGAGGATTGTCGTCTGGATATTCTAGGGATGTGTCGGGAGATGTAAGTTTAATATCCATGCTGATCAGTTAATTAAATATCGACCATTGGTTCTTATTGTTAAATGGAATTTGTAGATTACCATTGCAAGAGGTCCCCGAAATAATGACACATCCTACAGAACAGCATCCTGGCATTATAAAACGCTGGATAATAATGTACAGTTTTTCGCTAAGGGGCATTCAGCAGGAATCTAAATAATCACGTTCCGCCGATGGTGTGTTAATCTGCAGCTGCTGATCATATGAAAGTTTTATTCACTTTCATATGACTCATTTACCTCATTTATCTCATTTGTTCTACTTATCGTCTTTTGATCGTATTGCGTCAGAGTCATCATCTATTGTCGGGAGTATGTGTAGATCACAATAATTATTGAAATATATAATATTCGGAGAACCATTCGAAGTGATATCTGTAGCTTCGTCCTTTGGTGAATTTGTGGATATAATTTTTGACATGTTCTTCGTTGCTCTTGGCGGCAAATAAACCATCGCATGTATATTTCCATCCACCTCTCTTAACGCCACTGGGACAGCAGAGCGTGGATTAAATATGCACACATAGCATTCTAACATTATGAATATGATCCATTAGATGTGAGGTAAGTCTGTCCACATTGACTGTCCATTCGATGATTATACTTACTCTTGATTCCTCGTCTCTCAACGTTGCTTGCTACTGTAAACGTTGAACCATCCGCATCTGCCGCAAGATGATGTACAGGAAAACTAACGGACCACCAGACTACATTACAGACATATTCTCCATTAGCGAATGTCGATAACCTCATAAATTATCGAGCGAGTCAATATCAATGTGTACAATACCGCTATTAGTAATTAAATTCCATACGCTGATGCGATCGGGGGAAGCAGCAACCAGATATGCGCCCGAGCCGTTGATAAATGTCACATGCGTCAATTTGTCAGATGTAGGTAGGCAATCAAGCACATCAAATAACTGATACGTTGAAGTATTCCACAGCGTAACTTTTGAATCAAATGTGACCGCTAAAATACTGTTATCCTCAGAAAATGCAGCCACATGAGGATTATAATCTTTGTACAGCCCGTTAAACACTTCTACCCAAACCACTAAGACGCAAGAATTCGAGAATGTAGTTAGGTTATTATGATAGATGAATTACGTTATTACTTAGATTTACCTTCTCCATCAGCGTCCTTGCTATTAGACTGTTCTTTTAGTTGCCATATTGTAAATCTCTTATCAATGTTAGTCGTAACAATTTTAGGTGATCCCTCGTTCTTTTCATTATCGAAAACTAACGATATTATTGTTTCTTTATGTCGAATCGACAATCGTGAGTGTAGCATGTATGTCAGCTCATTGTCGTCATATCGCCAAAACTTCAGAAAAGATTCCATTTCGTGTTCTTTATCATCTCGTGTGTCTACCTTTGTTAATTAAACAATAAATTAATTATGATGGACTACTACAGCATTCGAAAGAATTTACTCACTGTCGCCATCCATCGTTCATCGGCGGAGAATGCCACATAAACTACTTGAAATCGCGTAATCTCTTCATAGTCTGTTCTTGACACGAGACTCTGCTGAGAGACGTCAAGATCTAACACATGTTTTTCAGAGCGTACGTCGTAAAATTGAAGAGAGCCTGGTTGACCATTTATGACCAGATTAGAAGTGCGAGGCTCTATAGTTAATCCCGCTGTGATATCTTCCAATCGTCTTTTTCCCTGTACTATCAATAACGACTTCTTAGATTTGCTAAATACATATCATTCAGTAATAAGCATCTGTCTCTTGCCAACAAGCCTCCGTACCATGCAATCCTTGAATGGCTTGTTTCAAGTCTAGATTCATCGATGCCACAAGTTTCACTGTATTGTTCGCTAATGATACGGCATAAATAGTATCATCTGGGCTCACAGAAATAGCATTTATTTCCCCACCAAGACGAGGAACAAATCTTCTCTGACCGGATTCAATATGCCATTCGACTAACACACCCTCCTCGCCGCCCGATAATAAATACGTGCCTACGATAGCATAGTAGCAGTTTCAAACATCTATATCCAAACGTATACATTAAATTAAAGAATTTAATGGTTACCTTTGAGTGAGTAGGCAAGATACATCACCTGGTGTGCATGCCAATGATATTTAGTCGAGGGTGGTTTCACTACCGATCTGTCTCCGAGCTGTCGTCTAGATTAACTGGTAAGTTAATATTCAGTCAATAAACAGAAAAATAGCAACTACCCAACATTATTACAATACTACGTACATTATCGTAATGGCTCCAGTCGCATCGCCTAATGCAACAATTGGTAATTTTGGGTGAACGGCCAATGCGGTTATAGCTTTCGGATGCTTGCGTCTAAATGCAGATCCGTTTAGTAACCATTATTAATATCAAAATAGTTGATCTCATAATAACCGACCTGTCTACTATTACGTCCGATTCATTGGAAAATACAATTACATCATAGTTCATTTTGTATGATGCAACAGCGCAACTGCCATCGGCATATACACCCAATCCAGAGCATGGATACTTCGATCGAGTCAGAGTGACCATTTGTGATTTATTTGGTCTCCATACAGTCAAAAGTATTATCTCTGATAGGTACGCGCTATGAACTACACAATAGAGAGCGAAAGTGTATAACTCAGTTTTGCGAATGAGTTGATGCAGGCCGTCTTGTATCACATTACTTACATACCGGTATTTGTAACTTCAGTAGCAAGAAATATTCTCGTACTGCTATTAGGTCCACTATCGCTTATAGCCATTCGAATAATTGGCTGACCAACGTCGTAAGTCTACTAATCCATGAGATTTAGTCAATTATGTTGAGACAATCATCAGACTGACATGGCGTAATAATATTCGCACCGCAATCAATGTCCCTGATTTCCTTGTATTCCAGATTTTTATTTTGCCATCCAATGATCCAGAGACTAGTTCCTCTTGATTCTTCGGGTTTCTTCCAAGACATGTAATTTTACCAGTATGACCATCTTCACTTGACGATACTGATAGATGTCTTACAACATCGCCAGTTTCGACACTGTATATTTTTATTGATGATCTTGCGCTGTTATAGAAATATCTAATTGTCACGAGAAAAGCAGGGTCAGAATAACTGCTGTAAACCGTTATTATTGTAGACACCCATAAATCGCGATATAAACGATGCGACGTGTTGGTACATGATCCACTCAACCAAATTAGCACTGGAACACAGAAATATGTACTTTGAATTCGCAGAGAATACAATCGGAAATTCGGACAAGTGATGTCCGTCAACTTCTTTCGCTCCAAAATATGGTATATCGGCCATCATTGATCAGTTATTTCTTGGTGAACAAACTTTTTTTTTAAATTTCCATCGGTGTACACGTGGAGGTTGAGAAATTCACAGTGGCGCAGCAATAATTTGTATAATATAAGGCTAGTAGTAGATTGGTTAATATTAATGCTCACTTACACTGTAGTTATATAATGACCAAAAAGAATAAAAGAGGGACAAAGCTAGGAGAATCTGACGATTCTAAACAAGCCGAAAGAGTTGCGTGCAATTGTCAAGGTATGCTTTATGATAAATCAATATTAAAATTATCCATTCATCATTTGACACACCCTACTACTCCAAAGCCATCAGACATCCTCTACTGACAATTGCACCCAACTGCTTAAACTGTGGTAAAATTATTTGCGAGTTTGAGGGAATCGGCCCCTGCACATATTGTGGAGTACCTGTATTATCGCGCGAACAGCAATTAGAACTCACGAGACAATCAAAGAAACAGAAACAAGTCAGAAACCAGCAACCCAAGAAAAACAAAACGAACACTGGTGGAACGGTACGTTATGCAGCGATGGTCTCTGGAAACATGATGCAAAAGAACGAACAATGGGTGGATCTGGTGACAGATAAAGAGGAAGAGAAAAGGTTACAACAGATTCAGGAAGAAAGAAGACTGGCTGCTGAAAGACACAAGGATAAGCTTCTAGAATTCGATCGACAGGGCTCACGGAGAACTAAGATTATTGGTACGGGTTTATTTGGTGAAATTGAGTTTCTACATGGTAATATTATCAGCAGGATAGGATTTATATTTTGTCTTTCGCAGATGAGAGATCAGACTTTGTGCTCCCTGGCGATGGGATTAATCAATGGCTTACGCTAAAAGAACGTGATGAATTGGTCAAGAAACAGGAAGCAAACTTGAAAAAACTCGAAACACCCGCATATCGTCAACGTACAGTAATGACAATTGATCCAATCACTAGACGTGTAACTGTGGAAAGAATTGATACTTCCATTGAACCCGAACAGCCCGATTCAAAAGCTACGACTGAACCAAGTGTTAAAAATAATGATCAAGCGACTACTACACCTGTGAGACCGAAGGAACTCGGAGATATTGAAAGCCCAAGGTTTATATTACAAGGTGAAAAAGCCAAAGAATCATCAGCTGGCAAAAGCAAAAATTCGAACAATAAACCACGAATATCGCGAGTACAAGATGACTTGAATAGCATTTTCGATATGGCTATGGGAGATGAGTAATAATACTTAATAATATATATGTTCTGACCCATTTCAGAATTTGACCCACTTCAGAATTGTGTACGTGATGATCAACATACTCGATTATATCACTTCATAATTCATTATAATTATTAACGATAATAATAAACAACTGAACAAGCAAATATATTTATGAGAAGCAAAACATGAATAACATAACGATAATAATAAAAAGACAAGTTAATGTCTCTAATTGGTTAGCGCCTTACAAACTAGCAGTTAACATAGTCAGTATTAGCTGAATACACGTACACTTCATCTACCCAAGAAAATAATCAGGGATATATATATATTCTCACTACTACAGAATAACCAAAAAAATATCAACAATCTCCCACACTTTCTCCTTAATTACACATTCTTACTTCCTACCATTTCACTTATACTCATAGTGCACACACAATGCACTAGTAAACGTCTAATATTCCTGAAATATAATAATTATGATACTGAGTCAAGGCGTGCAAATGTTACATGCATTAACAAATGCAATAACCAACTTCTTCGGAATGTAACTATATTGACGTTGAAGTCCTTCGAATGTCTTTCTGTAGCCAGCGTGTTGTAAATTTTGATGTACGGAACAAATTACATCGTACATATTCTCTCTAATACACACGGTTTTTTTACTTCTTTTGAGGACTAGAACTTTTACTTCGCCAATACGCATCACGCTGAACATTTGCAGTACCCAGTGTTTATATCTTTGATTTGCATTTGTATCTGAGCCGCTAAGAATTTTAACCGCCTGGTCTACAACTTCTTGAGACAGAATGGCTCTTGCGCGACGATTGGGTGGCATATCATTCAAGTAATTGTTCACTAATTCATCGAACCTGGTGCGAGAGATAAAGTATTAGACATGTTTGTTTCCTGACATCATTAACGTTAAGTGAAAAACACCGAATTGTAATGTTGGATACCTCTGTTATCACATTAGTTTTATTATGTTTTCACTCTATTTCATTTTGAAGCAAATCGCTCAACTATCCTTTTTTGTTAAAAGGCCATAATTGTTTGATTATCATACGATTCTATATTCTACTAGGCTGCTTATATCATCTGATTTGCCTTACTATTGCCAGCTGCGGTTATGATCTTCAGTTTGTTGATAAAAAGTCTTTAACAAAAAAGGATTGCAAGTCAAAGAAATAAACAAATACACAGCCGGTTTATCGGGGGCTGGCTGTGAAGAATGACAATTGGTTTCGGAAATTGCATGCTAGTCAAAAACAATTAAGTCTTCAACAAAAAAGGATATTAAGGTAATCTAGCACCGCAAATAATAGGATGGTTAAATAATTACGTCTCGAAGTAAGCTTTAACAAAAACGGATTGATTGAATAAGAGTAGTTTAGTGTAAAAAAATCGCTTAACAAAAAAGGATCGTGATTCGAGTAATCACAAAGAATACAATTGAATAAGTGGGTGTAAGAAAATCGTATGATGGTCAAAATAATAGGCTTGACAAAAAAGGATCGTAAGGTGTTGGTTTTTAAAAAAAGATTCTGGAGTCATAATAAAATCAACATGGCAGCGTCCTCCGTTGTTCTATATAAATAAAGTTCAACTTTCTTTCCATTTACGTTGTCAAAAATTACTTCTCTTTTTATTTAACATTGTCAAAAATTTATTTAGTATACAAAATGTCTAATAATCATTTTAACTTCATCTCTCGCGCCAAATTTGATGAATTGGTGGAAAACTATTTGAATAGTATATCACCCGATCGTCGCGCAAAAGCCATCATGACTCAAGAAATTGTAAGCCAAGCGATCGCAATTCTTAGCGGCTCAGATACAACTGCAAATCCGAGATACAAACACTGGGTAATGCAAAAATTCGGCATAATAAATATTGGCGAAGCAACAAATTTATTACTCAACAAAAGTAAAAAACCGGTTTGCGTCAGAGAGAATATGTATGATGTAGTCTGTTCAATACATCGCGATTTACAACACGCTGGCTATAAAAAGACATTTGAAGAGCTCAAACACCAATACAGTTATATTCCCAGAAAGTTAATTGCTGCATTCGTTAAGGCATGTAGTATTTGCACAAATCGTCGGCCAATGCTACAACCAGTGTCTGCGAAGCCCATTATCGCCAATGAATTTTTGTCGCGAGTGCAAGTAGATTTGATCGATTTGAGGACTCGACCAGATGGCGATTATAAATATATAGCTCACGCCAGGGATCATTTTACTCGTTTTTCCTGGGCAACGGCGTTAAAAAGTAAAGAAGCGATATACGTCGCAAGTTTTCTGTTTCAACTATTTACACAATTTGGACCACCAGTTTTTTTACAATCTGATAACGGAAAAGAATTTGTCGCGTCAATTATTCGTGAACTTGTTCAATTATGGCCAGGAACCCGCATTATAAACGGCCGCCCACGACATCCTAGGTCACAAGGATTAGTTGAGAAAGGAAACGATATTTTAGAGAATAAGCTTTCTGCATGGATTGAGGAAAATAGTCGTGAAGATTGGAGCATGGGTTTACCGTTGATAGTATGGGCGATGAATACTCAGGTTTGCAGCGCCACAAAATATTCACCATATCATATAGTTTTCCAACAACGCCCTCGATGTAATTTAACGTTACTCATTGAACTTTGGAACATGAATATTACCGATGAGGATGATTTACCTGAAAACATTGAAATAGAAGATGATGAAATTAGCAGTAATGATGAGCAATATACAGACGTTGAAATGCACAGAAACGATGATGAAGACGTTAGCAGTAAT